TTCAGAAGTCTGTTTTCTCAGCGTCTGACCTCTCAGGTTCTGTGTGATACTTATATTCTTGTTTTGATTTTTCATCATTTGTGTAGATTTTCCTTCCCACTGTTTCCTTTTTTTCCCAACTTTAATTTTGTTGTTCAAGGGTGGTTGGGTTGCTTTTACTTCTGTTAACCCAATCTCCTATTCTTCCTTATGTGAATCCTCTGACTTTGTTCAATTCTGAAGCTGGACTGTAGTTTATACTTGTTGCAGTTTTGAGACTTAATTGATAGGGAGCTGTGAGTTAAAATCTATCTGATAATCCCAGATAGATTTTTATATAAATACCCGACAGGTGTATGGATACCCTGGAATCCGCTTTTCATTGCCTTGCAGTCTGTCCATGCAGTGGGGGTATAGGTTTGCTCCCTGAAAGTAAAGTGTGGTAAGAAAAAGAAGAAGAATGGAATGGGGGGTGGGGGAAGGGGAAAGTGGAGAGAGAGAAGAGTAAGAGGGAAAACAGACAAATGTACTGGCTAACAAATGAAAAGAGACACAAAGACAAATAAGATAAAAAAACCCTAAAGCATAAAATCATACAGACACACAAGTTAACCAACCTCATTATTGATGTGCTATTCCCCTACACAGACATGAAATTTTAAGAAAAAATTCAGCAAGCTAACAGAAACAAAGCAGGTACAAAAACATTATCAATAACAGTAAGAAGAAAGAGAAAAGAGGGGGAAAAGAGTAAAACAAACAGACAAATGATAAAAAATTTTAAAAAATTAAAACAAGGGAACCAAGCATGTTCTGAGGTTGTTCCTCTAAGTCCAATGGCCTTTCAGCTCTGATATTTAGCTCTCATTGCAAGTTGGTAGGGTTGCTCACAGCTAGGGTCAGTTGCCCCAGGACTGCTTAGATCCCAAGGTGGCTGGGCAGAGCTGGGCAGAGTAACTCAAGAGTTGGGAGTAGTTCCCTGAAATCAAAGTCTGAAAGAGAAAGTTACTTGCAGTTAGGTACTGGGATATTCTCTCTGGATTTAAGTATGGAAGGCACAACTGGGCAACCTGCTATATGGCCACAAGTGAGAACTGATTGAGAAGTCCATCAAGATCATCCTTTCTGAGACAGGATCTTGGTATTTTGATCTCAGACAGTTATTAGACCTGATCTCCACTCTGAGAGGGGGAAACCTTGGTGGAGGCCGTCCTCTGCAGCCAATAGCAATGTCCAGTGAAGGCAGAGCAGTAAGCTCCCAGGACTCCTAGAGACAGTGAGCCTGTGAGTTTGCCCAGAAGAGCAATCTCCAGAATTCACTAGACTAGTCTCTGGTTAGACTATCAGGATGCTTTGGTTTAGTCGGGGCTACATCAGTGTAGTTTAGAGGTACATTTCAGGATATTGGGACATGAGTGGAAGAAGTAGGCTTGGACACATATGGAATTACTGTTATCATAACCATTTGACAGATAGCTCCTTCTGATTACACACCAATTCAAGTTTTTTTCTAAATCATTCTCCAGCCCAATCAACACCAGAACAGTATTGACCTGGTAGCACAAATCCACTCCTGACCCACCATATGCAGAGCCTGCCTGGGGTTTGGTGGGAAGGGCAGCCTGAAGCTCTCATATCCAGGATCATGGCATTGTCCACAGTCCTCTTGGAGATGGAGAAAGAGGGTGAAGCCAATGGGGGAGTGGTTTGTGTCTCATTTTTCCATCTACCTATTTAACTGTGAAATTATTACAACTGCTGTCCCATGATTGACAGTGATAGTCAGCCTCAGTCCCAGCCTGGACCCCACTAATGATAGGGTGGACATGTTCCTTGATTTAGACCAAGAGGATTGCTCATGGATCACTGAGGGCTGGTTACTAGCAACCTAGAAGACTGGCACAGTGGCCTGACCTGACTTCTGCTGATACCAGCTTGCATGATAGCTTTTTATGTCATCTCTCTGGCATGTGATCCTGGCTGTTTGTCCCTAGAATACAGATGCTGAAGGCAGTTGAATCCACTCAGAAGAGACCATGGAGCCTGCAATAGAAGACTGGAGAAGTGAGTCTCAGGATGAGGGTTTCATCCCAAAGCCCCACACCCTGCAACATACCCTGTACTGAGCTGAGGGTAAGAAAAAAGCTGATCCTACGAGGTAGCAGTTATGCATCAAGTGAGTACAGTGGGCAGGGAAGGTGTTCTGGCCTTGGTGGAGGAACCCCAAATCTCTCTCAGCCATCAGATAGGGAATGGTCATTCATGCCTCTCTTATCCTAGAAAGGGAATTTCTTCATGCTAATCTACTTTCTCCTCTCTGTGGCTTGTTGGGTAGTTTCTTGGAGGTGAAGGATACAAATCTAGTCTAGATTCTTTATTGTATCTGTCTGAGCTCTGTGCCTGATTTTGAGGTTCATCAATAGGACCTGGTAGGTGCCACGAATGCAGAGCATATATGATGCCCCAAAAGAGTGCCCAAAGGAAATATCTGTCATACCCTTTGTACTTGAGAACTACCAGGCAAATTGAAGTTACTATGGTCCCCAAATCAAGGCCTGCAGTTCCCACTGGTGCTGTCAGAAGGAATGCCGTCCTTCATGTATCTAGTTTATGGAGAATGACTACTTTGGAACCAGATGCATTGGTGAGTGTTTTTCAAATGTAACCTCAAGAACAAAGTTTATAGCATGAATATGATAACTTTGAATCCTATATATATGACACAATCTCTATTAAAGAACAAATATTGATAGGTTGAATGCTTTTTCTAAAAGTTCCCTGAGAATAGTGAGAGAGTCAAGATTTCCTCTAAGAAGCTCACCTCAAGCCTCACCTTCCAGCCCCTTCTGCCCTGCCTCCTGCTCCATCCCCTGTCTCCCTCATCCCTGGCCTCTGGGTTCTTTTTCATCATCATTTGCTAGAGCATCCATAATAAGATACCAAAGACCTGGCAGGTTAAACCACAGAAACTTAGTTCCTCTCAGTTCTGAAGCTAGAGGCCCAAGATATAGAAGTTGGTAGCTTTGGCTTATCCTGAGACATCTCTCCTTGGCCTGCAGATAGCTGCCTTCTTACTGTCCTCAGTGGTCCTTCCTTTGCATGCTCATCTCAGTGACTCCAAATGTCCTCTTCTTAGGAACATGCCAGTCAGATTGGATGAGGACCCACGGCAAGGGCTTCATTTTTACCCAGTCACCTCTGGATTACTCCAGTCTTTTGTCCAAGCTTCCTTGTCCATTTGCCCATCCTCCCTCTCTGATTTCCTATCAAGTGGAATTTATTCCTGATCTGAAACACTCTCAGAATTCAGCAAAAAAATAGAGACAAAAGATATGAGATTGTGACAGAGTACTACCATGGGCAAAACCCCAAATCCAATCTAATTCATGATAAAATTATGTTTTGGTCAACAGAAGGACTTCAGGCCACTACAGGAGGTAAAATATACTGTTCCTTACAAAAAATATCCACTTAGGACATATGTTTAGGTATTTTCACATCGTCATGTGAAACAAGAACCTTTAAACCACATCCTGTGGACCAAATCCTAAAGGTCATCTGTATTTTTTTTAAATGGTCCCAAGCTGAGTGTGGTCTTTATACTTTTAAATAGGTACATTGTAAATGAGATTGTAAATACTTACATTATATTCTCAAACTTGACTCTTGGTCCACAAAGTCTAACTTACTTATTATGTGAACACTTAAGAAAAAAATTACCAATTCCTAATGAATACAAAGCCTTGAAATATTTGAGAAAATTCTAGAAATCCAAAACAAAACTGTCACAAGACAGCATTTTTAACCTAACATGTTGACAGAAATTCAAACATCGAAAAATATACTCTGCTCAAACATGTGTAGCTAACACTTTCAATTGATACAGTGCTTCACAGAGAATTCTGAAAATAATCAGTGAAAATAACAAACACATCTCCTTTGACACAGCAGTTCAACTTTTAGAAATTTTTCTGATGATCACACACACACCCATGAACCCAAGGACTCTGACCGGCGATGTTCATTGTAGTGTTATTTGTAAGATCCAAATCCTGGTGAGAATCATTATTGGATAGTTGGTTAAAACTCACGTGGAACCCTCTACAGCGTTAATCTGAGTTGGACAGTGCTCTATGTCTAAAGTGGAAGGGTAAACAAAAAACAGTGTATATGATTGTCTTGACATGAGGACCAGGACAGAGAACTTCTTCTTTCCTGCCTCCCAAGTACAGTCTCAAAGAGGGAGAGGTTGAGATGGGAAATTGGAGCGTGTGAATTACTGAGGAGTGCTCAAAAGAAAACAAAATGGGGAGAGGAGTAAAGAGGGGATGGTACAGAGGTAAAGTCGTGTTCCAACCTGGTCCAGGGGGAACTCCAGAGCTGAATTGCACCACAATGTGTGTCCTACTTGGAGGCCAGTGACAGGGTTTGCGACTCCTGGTCCATTCATTCATTCACGTGGTGGTGGGGGGGTGTCACTTCCAAGCAACCCTTCATGAAGGGGCTTCAGCCTGAGTCCAGAATACACTTCTAGAGATGGCTGGAAGATGGGTGCATTCACTGAAGGGTGATTCCAAAAGCATCTGCTGCATGCTCCATTTTCTACTGATGTGTATATCTAGTGTTCAAATTCAAATTAATCACATTGTTTATAAAAAAGAATGCCTTTTTTTCTTGTTCAGTCAGGGTCTCACTCTCTCACCCAGGCTGAAGTGTAGTGACAAGATCATTGCTCACTGCAGCCTTGAACTGGGTTCAAGCTCACCTCCAGCCTCAGCTTCCCAAGTAGCTGGGACTACAGGCATGTAACACCACCTGCAACTATTTTTTCACATTATGTTGCCTAGATTGGTCTTAAATTCTTCTCCAATTTCTGGCGAAAACAATCTTTCTGCATTGGGGCTTCAATTGCTGTGGTTATAGGCCTGCTCATGGCGTTGTCTACAGTCCTTCTGGGGCTGGAGTAGGAGGATGACACCAAGAAAAATGGGGTTTGTGTCTCACTTCCCCATCTGCATGTATCACTGTGGATAATTGCTGTGGATACTGCTGTCCCATGACTGACAGTAATAGTCAGCTTCATCGTTGGTCTGGGTCCTGCTGATGGTCAGGGTGGCTATGTTCCCTGATTTGGAGCCAGATAATCGATCAGGGATCCCTGAAGCCTGGTTGATGCTATGATAGATGACCAGCAATGGGGCCTGACCTGACTTCTGCTGGTACCAGTTTGCATAAAGTGTTCCTATGCCATTGCCCTGGCAGGTAACCCTGGCTGTCTTTCCCAAGGCCACAGACACGGCAGATACTTGAGTCAGCTCAGAGGAGGTCAAAGAACCAGCAAGTGAGAACAGGAAAGATGAGTCTGTGAATAAGGGTCTCATTCCTGGAGCCTCACACCCTGTACCATCCTTTGTGTGGATTGGAGATCAGGGCCACTTTGATCCCTAGTTCTGCAGGCACTGAGTCCTGGGAGTAAGCATCTGTGCAGAGAGTGAGGAGGGTGAGCAGGGAAGGCATCCAGTCCATGCTGGAGATACCTCAGAGTTCTAACTCTGAACCCAGAGCTGGGGTGGGCCTCCAGGCCACTCTTATAGGGTGGAGTCTCTTCATGTAAATCTTGATTCTTTCCTATTGTAGCCTTGTTGGGTGGTACCCTGGTGGGGATGCAATTCAAGTCTGTTCTCCATTCCTCAGATTGTCTGTCTGAATCTTTGTCTGAGATCTGAGCCTGAGGTATTCGTGTTGGCAGTTTCCCAAGTTCAGAAGAAGAGCCAGATATGTGTTATGAATGGAGAGTAGATTTAACCTGATAGAAGGAGTCTCAAAGGCAGCCTCAGTCATGCCCTCTGCACTTGAGCACTCTCAGGGGACTTGTAGTTATTAAGTTTCTAAGCCAAGACCGACAGTGTTTCCTGCTGTCCACAGAAGGAATGCCATCAGATGTATATGACTAGTTCATGCAGAATGACTACTTCTGAGTTCCTAATACATGCTGGATGTTGAATCTTGCCCACAAAGCTGAAAATACTTCTTATTTGAATATTTCAGAAAAGGTTACCAAATCCCAAAAAATACACTGAAATATTTGAGAAAATGCTCAACCTCAAGTAAAATAAAATTCAAAATAAAACTGTCACAAGGTAACATTTTTAACTGAACAGCTTGGCAAAAATCTAAATTTACAACACTATACTCTGATCAAATACTTATAGCTAACACTATGAATTAGTACAACCCCTCTCGAGGGGAAGCTGAAAATACATGGAGAATGTTGCAAAGACACATCCTTTGACTCAGGAATTCTATTTAAAAAAATATATCCCATGGTTATATTTCATGTAAACCCATGGAGTCTGCATGAGGATGTTCAGTGCACTGCTATTTGCAATATCAAAATCCTAGTGAGAGCCATTAGCAGCTAGTTTGTTAAAACCCACACGGAACCCTCTGCATCCTTTTCATGAACAGTGCAGTGCTCTATGCCTAGGGTAGAAGGACACATACGAAGGGGTGCATGTGATGGTCTTGACATGAGGACCAGGATAGGAACCTTCTTCTTTCCTCTTTCCCAAGTGTAGTCTCAGGAAGACAGGTCTTGAGGTGGGAACTTGGCCCATATGATTTACTGAGGCGTGCTCTCAGAAGAAACCCAGATTTGGGGCAGGAGGATGTAGGATAGGGAGTGTACAGAAGTAAAGTCAATCTCCAGCCTTGTCCTGTGGGGGGGCTCTGAAACAGATTTGCATGACATGATGTGTCTTACTTGAAGGCTAGTGGACAGGTCTATGTCTCCTGCCCTGGTCATTCGTTGTCTGTGGGTGGTGCTGGTGGGTGTCAATTCCTCACAACATGACTGCAGTCTGAAAGCTCAGGGTCCACCCCCAGAAAAGATACCTGGTTGGGAGATGGGCACCCACTAAAAGTTGTCTCCATCAGCATCTGCCGTGGCCTGCATTTGGAAATTTTCTACCAACATGCATGTATTATCCAGTGTTCTAATTCATCATGTTATTTCTAAAGGAGAATTATTTAACTTCCCAAGACAAAAGTCTCATGACCAAGAGAATAATGATCAGATCATGTCTACACCTCCTTCCTGCTTCACGGAATATGAGTGAAACAGTATGGTGACTTCCACAGGGCTTTGGGGGACAAAAATGTTTCCAAGATATTTATACACAGACCAGGCTTAAGGGGAGCAGGCAGAACCAGATTTTTGGAGGGCTTTAGCAGTTTCCCCGGATAGGGAAGTCTGCCCTCTGCCCCAAGGTCCCTGCATGAGCTGTTGGAGTTCCTAGTCCAACTTCCATAAAAAGCCATTTCTGCGAAGCAGTTGTGTGGTGCCACAGGATATAGGAGTGGTTGGCTTGTCCCTGACAATGGTGAGTGGCTGGGCCCTGAAATATTGAGTCAGAGGCATCTGGGGATGATATGGGGCATTTGTCTATCTGCTATATGAACCATAGAGAAGCTTGTCCAGGTTTCCTAAGGAACCGTCCTGCGGTATTCCAAAACTTCACAAATCCTGCACTTGTAGAGAAGGTGAGAGTGACTGGAAGCCCAGGAGTAACTGGGAGTGAAGGCTTTAGTCACCACAGGCTGGAGCTGGCTGCTGAATGGTATGACAGAGAAAGTCAGACTCGTGATCACAACAGGTAGGTAGAATCCACTAGGGACCCTTGTTCATTCCCCTCCCCAAGGCCCAGGAATTCAGTCCTGACCTGTTCAGCGGCCCATGAAAGGAAAGTGGTCCAGGATATGGGGTGAAGCCCACAAATGCTCTTTCTTAGGACCCTGCATCAGGTGCCGAGCTCCTCTGAGGTTCTTCCTCCTTCTCTGGCACTTCGGTGGAGGGTGGGCTCTGCACAAATCCCTCACCCAGTTTCCTGCCTTGCTTAGCTTGCTTCCATCAGTCAGGGTCGCATTAGCTGAATGTCCCCCAGTGAAGGATTGGGGAAGAGAGGAGGGAGTACTCAGGACTTTGTTTTTGTTTCCTTCTTCCTGTCTTCTTCCCTCTCTGAGCATAAGGGGAACCCATAGTTGTTGCTTGGAAAGCACTTAGGGAAAAAGCAAATGGGGTCATTGAAAAGATTCTCAGATGAGTTGAGGTTCTCACAGACAGAGACAGTTGAGATCCTTGCAGACAGAGACAGATCCCACAGCTCTGCCTGTTGAATCCTCATCCAAGAGTCTTCTTTCCTAAAAATACTGGGACTATCAGATTCAACTTTGTGTCTCTGGTTGATTATCTCTAATCAAACCCCAGTTCTTTGTCAGAAGCCTCCATGTAATTGAAATGCTCCATTTCTAATCCAAATTTCCTCTCCAGATCTATCTGAATTTGGAAGTCCTGCAATTCTGGTATCTCTGTGCATTAGATACCGTTGGTCCCTTGCTGTATTCTGGTCAAGTGAGGACGTACATGGGCATCTAGAGGCGCCATTTTCTGTTGCACTCAGAAACCTTGTCATGTGTAGAATGCAGGTGTAAAAGTACATAGGATCATTGCTCAGTGTTGGGTGTCTACTCAATCAGTCTTTTTCCTCCCTTGTAGGAACAACAGAAGGAAGAACTGGTGAGTGTACCCCATTCTTCAGTACAGAGCTGGATATTTTAGACATGTGAGTGCTGTCTTTGATTTGATTCGATGGTGGCTTCAGAATTTTAAGATGACTCAGTCAGATACAGGAATTTGGGATTCAATAGGCTGAAGCACCAACTAGTCTCTGGAAATTATTTGCCTTCCAGAGCCTAAATGAGGCCTGAGCACTCTTCAAAGAGTGACACTGACTTTCAAATAGATTCTAAAAATCCATTCCTGCTACAATTGAAATTTAAACCAGATTTTAAAATTGTGCCAGAGAATGTAGTTTGGTGAAGGGAATGAGGAAAAATTTGGTTAGTCTTTGGTGAAAGTAATTTTATCTGAAATATAAGGCAAGTGGAAGGAAAGTACTTAGGTTGATAACAAGGGGGAAATACTGCAAAATTCATAGTCTGATAATCATTGCCGTAAGGACTAATAATAATAAGAGACCCATAAATAAATGGGGTTGTTTCCTGTTGCCTGGATCATGGAACAAGGTGGCTCAGCCCAACCTGGACACTCAGGGCTTCATTCATCATGTGGTAGAGATTATTTTATACTTAGTGTGATTCACTGTCAATAAGGAGTTTAAGCAATTATCTGGGTATCATGGTCTGGTTCATTATTTCTGAGATTACTTGGGGACTGTGGGTCCTGAGTCTGGTCTGCAGGTGTCTGCCAGGGGCTAAGTTGGGGGCAATGGAACCCTGGAGTGTGGTGATGGAGGGAGCATGGACTGGGGTGACTGGAGCAAGAATTCACAGGACATGGCGGATGGGCAGGATATTGGAGGGGAGACAACAACAGAGAATGACTCCATATTCATGACAAGGGAGAGAGGAGTCCAGAGGTGAGGAGGGACAAGAGCTGGGGGAATCTGGGGACAGTTCAAGAGTTTGGTTTAAGTGAAGCACTTGTGTGGCATCAAGGAAGATGCTAAGTTTGATGCAAACTAAGGAACTTGGGGAAGATTGAACTGTGGATATGGATATGGGAGCTGAGGATATATTAAAGGTAGCTGAATTTCCGGAAAAATTGGGATCATCAGGCCTGGGAAAAGAGAAAGGGCTCAGAACCAATAGTTCTCTGACTCTAACACTGAGGTGTCTGGGAGACAAAGAGAAGCCTCCAGAGGAGAGGGAAGAAGAGGGAGACTAAGGAGGATCTAGTGTCCGTTCACAGTGGAGCTTCACACTCACTCCAGACCACATCTCCCAGTGTCCCCAGCACCAGACCTTGCCTTCTTGGCATACATTTTATGCATTTACTCAACTACTGTGAATCCTCCACCCCTGATCCACTTCTCTTACAAAAATCAGGTTCCTTGAGAGCAGGAGCCTTGCCTGTTTTTATTATCAATGTGCCTCTTAGAACCGTATATGCCTTGTACAGTAAATGTTTTTGAATGAACAAAAGAATATCAGAGGAATGGAAATTGAGGTTTTCACCAAGAGTGAGGTTAATGAGGTGCACAGCCAAGGCGGAGTCTCCCCAGGACTTGCAGGGGAAAGACATCTCCCCCAACATGCCGGGTTATCCCTCAAGCTTTCCCATCTCCATGCACGGCAAAGTCTTCTTTATTCCTTGTGGCTCCAGAAAATAGAGTGGAATTGGTTAGGAATGTATAGCTAATATAGTCAGAAGTGAAATTGTCCCACAAGGTACCATTCATCAGCAGTGGGACAAGCAATTTTGAACAGGATGCTGACAGTTGATATGCCCCTTCAGAAGTGTGCTTGAAGGAAGCAACATCTCAGTGAGCCTAAAGACCCCTGCACCCTGTGTAAGGAACAGCCAGTCCTCTTCTGGAGGTAGGTGCACAGTCAAGGTAAAGGCATACCTGCCATAAGGCCTCCTGGTGTGTCACTAGAGACATGGGGTCGGCGTTTTACACATGGGAACCCATGGGCTCAAAACACAAACTGCAGCTCTCAGCTTC